TTAGGTCCCTAATACCGCTTAGTATAGAGGCTAAAAAGTAAAAATTCAACTTTGTTGACTAATTTCTCAGATCTCTTCCAGCTCTGAAATTCTGTGGTTGGGTTAAAAATAATAATTGAGGCCATGTCATATATTCACATACATACCCACACACACACACACACACAAAATTGTTAACTTGAATTTTCATACTTAGGGTTTTCTTTAAAATCCTGCAGGCAACAGGCAGCAACCGCACATGCAATACACGTGCTGGTAGTCTCCTGGCTCATCTCTGAGCCCTACCTGCTTTACGGATGTGAAGGAAACGTTAACTGTTAATTCACTTCCTTCCTGATCTGTATCTTTATTTCTGTAATCCTGAACAGGGAAAGGATCCCTAGGGTGTTACGCCAACTCTCGCCACCAGAGGGCAACAAGGAGACCCACTTTCTGTTTTTTTTTAAATACTATTTGGCCACCAGATGGCGCCCAAACACCAGTTTAAGGGAGGCAAGGGTTTAATTTAGATCAGATGCACTTCAGACCCAATGTTCCCTTTATTTCCTCTCCCTGAAAAGAGGAATCTCTCTCACAGGTGACCAAACACCTGGAAATTGGCTGGAGCTACATGGTGCTTTCTGAAGAAGAGGAAATGTAGGAAGAAAGAGGAGCAACACTAGAAACTTCAAGCCCCAAGAACCAGAAATTTGAATATGGACTGAGGGCCTTAGGTGAATCCAAAGAATCCTTGTCAATTTTTAAAGTGTGTGAATGGTGTTTTGTTTAAGAAAATAACAAATATAACACAACTAAAAGCAAACACACTAACTACAAGACCCCCCAAAGTCCAGGGAGATGGGTGGTTATTCCTCACCGTGATCAAATTAACACTCCTGAAAGCCTGGCTCCGACATACCTCTCATCGTGCCTCCAACGTTCCAAACACGAGGTGTGTGTGAACTACAGAAACTCCTTCAGAGAGAACGTTGCTGGGCAGGAAAACATCGGAGCCGAGCCCTGCTCCATGGACTGGCGTGCGGGAAGCGGGGGTGAGCGTGGGAGGCAGGAAGCAAATCCTGCTGACTCACTTTACCTCGAAAGGCAGCACATTCAGAAGATCGTTCCCGTTAGTTGTGGATACACCTGCAGATTTACATTCTCCTTAAATGCATCCAGATCCTCCCATTAAAGATGGGTGGGAGTTAATTACCTGCAATAAGGAATTTCCATTAAAAATCAGAGTCACGCCCAGAGAGGATGGTATTCTCACTCAGAACTGAGCGGAAGCGGCTGACCAGGGAGCCCCATCATGGCTTTAATTTGTAGCACCCTTATGCCTGCTTTTCTTCATAGACTGGTGCTGTTTCTTCTGTGCTTAAAGAAAATTGCTTACAGGGAGGCTGAGGAGAGGAGGCATGTTTAATCAAAAACATGAATGTTAGCCCCCATCATCTGCAAAATGTGTGACGTTCCCGGACTCCCCCCATGGAAGTCAGTCCCCATACCATCCAGCCACAGCACCTGTACGTGTCCTGCACAGCCCTTAGGCCGTCGTATAGTGTTTTATTTGTTTGTTTACTTGCTTCTTGATTATCCTTCCCACTAGGCTGTAGGCTGCCTGAGCGCGGGGCCTGGTCTGGTCTGTTCGGCACCCTCGGCCCTGAGCAAATGGCGCCGGGTGTGAATTTAGTCCACCGTTGTTGGATTTAAGAAACGAGGGAAAAGAAAGTTTGGTGTCATCCCAGTTCTACCACGTGGAACAGGGAGCAGTAGAATCCAGCTGGTTTCTGTGTCAAACATCCTTTGAGGAGCGAACAGGACTATTAAGACTCTTGCTCTTTTTCAACAGCGCCCATTACAACTGCTGCTCATTCACCTGCGTTCTCACAGAAGGACTATTAAGCCAATTACTAACACTGGAACATAGAGAGGAGAAATTTCTCTGTTGAGATGGCAATCTACTTAAGATATGTCCTAATTTTACTCTCTTGTTAGATGGTTCTCCTGATAAATTTCTTTATAAAAGCCAAGTCCCCACCACCCCCCGGCCCCTGAATTGAGCTTAATCACAGCAGAATGGTTAGCACACCATACACTGCAAAGAGCTGCGCTGGGCAGTAAGCGTGTCCCAGCCTGGCCACGTGTGACCCTGAGCCAGTCAGCTTTCGTGAGCTTCCCCTTCCCCACTAAGAATGCGTGTCCTCGGGGCTGTGCATCTGGCACACACTGGACCCTCGGAACTATTCAGTTCCCCTTCTCTCACCGCCAGCCAAGAGTAGACAAGCCACCCAAGCCACCTCAGACCTACTCACCCAGGCATTAGCAATGCCCGGCTTCAGGAATGAGAATGCAGGACACGTCTGCATCACCTCAGCTCAATCCCTCCCTCCAGCTCCACGCCACACACTTCACCCACAGAGGGACACCCACGGTGCACACACAGCCACAGTGGGCTCCCCCCTTAGCCCCACTCCCACCGAACGGCACTGGTTCCATACAGCCCCCACAGTCTCCAGTGTCAGCTTTTTACATGGTTGCTCGATGTGGCCAAGTGTGCAAAGGCCACAGAGTGTAAAGGTGTGACAGAGGCTAGGGTTTCCCAAACCCCATCATCACGGGCTACAGTTGAGGGGTGTGCACACGACATGCACCACACTTAATGGCAGAACAGAGGCAAATTTCTTTAACATTCGGGAAATACACAAATCAATCAGGAAAATCTATTAAGAAAGAGCAAACTGCACAATAGAAAAATGAAGAATGAAAAACAGGGGGAAAAGTGCAAAAGGCCAGTAACCCTGTGAAACTGCATCCAGGCTTACTCGTAAGTAAGACAAGGAGACACCAGTTTTCACCTATAAGATTAATAAAAATGAAAACTGATAATGCCCAGTGTTGGCAGGAGTGTGGAGAAAGCAGGTACTCTTACTCATACTCACAGAAGTATGAGCTGAGCCATTAACAATATCAAAAATTTAAATACAAAGCTCAACTGTACTAAAACAACTTCTGTTCATTAAAAGTCACCCATTTACTTAAAAAATAATAAATAAATAAAAATTTTAAAAGCCACCCATTTAAAAAGCGAAAAGACAGTCCACAGATTGGGAGAAGATATTATTTAGCCCATAAAGACCAGTAACCACAGTAGATAATGAAATACTGTAAATCAATAAAGAAAGGACAAACACTCCAACAGAGAAAAATGGGCAAAGGCCATTCACGTAAGAGAAAACAGGCCACAAAATATGTGAAGTTGCCCAACCTCACCAGGAATCAGAGAAATGTAAATAAAAGCCACAACAAGCATTTTACATCAAACAAATTCACAAACACTAAAAGGTTGTACAATACCAAGTTGGTGAGAATATGGAAGAGCTGACTGCAGGTAAGACTGTAAAACCACTTTGGAGAACATCTTGAATATCATTGAAGGTTCTCATGTTCTATGAACTGGCCACTCCCCTCTGGACAAATATACTCCAGAAATCCCCACCCGAGAACAACCAAGAAACAGACACAAGAATTTCCACAGCAGTAGCCCTGGCTGGGTGCTAGTGGTGAGCAGCTGGAAACAGAGGATTGAAGTTTATTCCAGTAGGATGCCTGGGTTGAGGGTCCGGGCTGGAGGTATTCTCTCCCTCTTCAATAAATAAATAAAATGATTTAAGAAAAAGTAGTACAGTTAATGTCATGGCTTAGCTCAGTGGATTGAGCACAGGCCTGTGAAGCAAAGGGTCGCCGGTCCAATTCCCAGTTGGGGCACATGCCTGGGTTGCAGGCCAGGTCCCCAGTAGGAGACACATGAGAGGCAACCACACACTGATGTTTCTCTCCCCCTCTTTCTCCTTCCCTTCTCTCTAAAAATAAATAAATAAAATAAAATCTTTAAAATAGGCACAGCAAAGTACTATAGGAGAACCACCAGCGGCCCCTCTGGGCGCAGCAGGAGGACCACTGCCAGGGCTACGGAGGGGCGTTCACATGTGTTCACAGTTCGTGTTTTTAAACTGTTTTTTTATTCTTTTTCGTACCTCATAAGTAATCCAGAAAAGTTTTTTAATTGAGATTTTATTTATGTATTTCTAGGGGGCGAGGGAGGGGGAAGGAGAAGGAGAGAGACATCCACGTGGAAGAGAAACAGGGACCCGCTGCCGCTCGCAGGCACGAGTCTCAGCCTGGGACAGAACTGCAGCCCAGGCACGTGCCCTGACCGGGAATCCAACCGGCAACCTTTTGGTTTGGGGGGCAACGCCCAAGCCAGAGCCAGACTCGTCAGGGCAGAATAAAGTTTTTTTAATTTAATGTACATATACTTTCAGCTAATTTCACTGCTAGGAATTTATCTCACACGTGCATCAGCATATGCATGGTATATGCGGCAACGCATGCAAAGTCGCGGCGCACGAGGGGAAAAACTGGGAGCACCCCGTCTACGGGAACATTACACAGGGCAGTCGGGGCAGCACCAGAGCTAGGCAGTCGTTAACACGGATGACACGGCCCTGACGGGGGGCCCAGTCGGTCGGGCGTAGGCCCACAAGGTGAAGGGCCACGGTTCGACCTCAGTCGGGGCACACACCTGGATTGCGGGCTCACTCCCTGGTCGGGGTGTGCATGACAAGCAACTGGATGGATGTTTCTCTCCTTCTCTCTCTCCCTCTCCTTCTCTTTCTCTCCCTCCCCCTGTCTCTAAAAATAAGTAAATAAAACCTTTATTTAAAAAATGAGATAGACCTGTATGTCAAGATATATATTTAAGTGCAGGGTGGGAATCACAGGACTAGACTATTTATGGGGAAATAGTAGATGAGATGCACACACACATACACAAAACCATTCACTTTGATCATCTCGGGGGACTGAGAATAGGTAATGAGAGGGGACTTCTACTTTTTATTTGATACCCTTCAGGGTGATTTGCATTTGTTCTTAGCATTAAAGCCTATTGCCTTTATAATGCAAATAAATATATAGATAAATCAGAGGAAAAAATAAATAACAGCATAAGACTAGGATGCTGGTTTGCCAAGATTTTATTTTAAAAGCAAAAATCACACAAAATTATTTTAATCACTTTTTTATGCTGATCTCTGGAGAATTGATGCCACTCAAAGAAAGGAATCCCAAAGGTGGCTGCTTTGTAAAAAAGGATAAATAGAACTGCAGGGAGAGTAAATTACCTGTGGCTCTTTCACAGCTTTACATAACTACCTGCAGAGCATGTTACCAATATTTGCTGTATTTCAAATCATCATACTAAAAACTATACTGTTTTTTCACCTGGAAGGATATGCTTTTCAAGAAACACATTCAAAGAGGAAATGGAAATAAGGACCCAAAGCACATCAGCCACGCGGGCCACAGTACGCAGCCCAGCAGGGTGTTTCTGGGCCCTGGGGACCTCAGGTGGGGCTGTTCCCACTGCCGGACCAGAGGCGCACACCTGCCCTCTGCCGTGGAGTGGCGCTGTCCGGCTCAGCTGGCTCCTCCTCCGGGCGGCTGCCCGTCAGCGGAGCCAAGCTGCCAGCCTCATCCCGAGACAGCACCTGGCTCACACTCTGGGCACGCCCTGGGGTCTGTAAGGCCTTCTTGGGCTTCAGCCAGCCTGGCCGTCGAAGTCAGGAAGTTCATGGCTACAAAGGAAGAGAAAGAAGCTGAGTATGGAGACAGATGCCCAGGGGACTGGGTCACCCCAGGAACAGAGCCCCATTTTCTTACCAGACTGAACTGAGACCCAGAACCTCCCCACTCTGCTGAAACCAGAACTCTGTTACCTAGATCAACTTTTTTTTTTTATTACCGAGTAAAATGTATTTCCAAAAATAAAGGGCTAAAAGTTAAAGTTTGCAAGTCTTTGAACTAGAGGACATTGCTAGACAGGCAGTTCCTGAACACAGTAATAGAAGTTTTTATAACTAGTTTCCCATTTCCATGCAGCTGTAGGTAGAAAAGGGAGGAGGGGGCCGACAGCCCTGGCCCTCCGAGGAGCCCACAGAACTGCTGGAAGGATCAAACGAGGTAACAACCGTCTTCAGCTAAGAGGCCCTTAGGAAATAAATTTACTATTTCCTTCCTTCCTTTATAATGGAGTGTAGATCCAGTTCAAATATTAGTCATGTAAACAAGACTGTGTGTTTCTTCTAGAAGGGGAAGAAGAAGGTGATGACGAGAGAGGAAGGATAAGAGGAAGAAAAACAATAACAGCAACAACAGCTCGGTTACAATTTCAAAGGGGAAAAGTTGTCTTCAAGTGTGTGTCTGCCACTACAGGAAATGGGAAAGGGGGGAGGTGGGAAGGGAGGCGTGGAGAGGGAGGGCACTCGTACTCAACACTTGCTCTCAGTCCAAAAGCACTGTCCAGTTTGTGAGAAGCTTCAATACTGCCTTTAATCCGTACAGAATAGGATGCAGGTGTCATTGCTCCCATATTACAGATCAGAAAACAAAGGTTCAGAGAAACTAAACAAGCTAGCCTAGGTCAGGCAGAGACGCTACTCACCCCGGCTGGCCTGTGTCCTGGGTGCATAGTCCCTCCACAGCCTCACCGCTGGCTCTTCCTCCTCAACGTGGGTGTTCCCTGGCCCTACTTCTCTCTCCCTTTCTGTCCCCTGCCTTTAAAACAGCTGGTCATCCCTCCTGCTGTTCCTCTGGGCAGCTCCTCTGTCCTGATTACCAGCCCCCTGGACCTTTCCCAGTTAAGATCCCACTGTCCTTACAAACACAATGTCTCTAAAAGCAGCTCGTCACCGAGCCACTCACACCCACCCTCACCTGGGGGTAGCTCTCTTCTGCCCTGCCTCCCGAGCTCCAAAGCAACGGCACTTTGGGTCGGATCTCCCCTTGCCCCCAGGTACAATCACTCCATCATCACTATTTGTTCTTCAAAATATCTCTTACCTCTGTCACTTTCCGTTTCTACTTTTCCTCTCAACATCTAGAGCCTTATGTCTGCCTGGCTGCTGCAGAAGCCTGCAGCTGGTTCCCTCAGTGATTCCAGCTAGTGCTGCTGCCAGACTCACCACCCCACCTACCTGCCCCGCACCTCCTCAGGACACACACCGCCTCCCTCTGACCAAGCCCACACCCAGCCCTGCACTCTAGGCTGCCGGCGTCTGGCCCCTGCCCCTCCAGCCTCAGCCCCACACCTCCACTCCCGGGTTCCTCAGTTCGGCAGCAGGACTGCCCACTGTACAGCACTGCTCCCCAGTGCCCTGCTCTTTCCTCCTCTCCGCTTGCGGCCCCCAGATCCTCCCGCGGGCTGGCCCGCTCCTCCCTCCTCCACCTCCCAGTCCAGGCCTCCCGGCAACGCCTGCACGCTCATTATCTGCACTGCTCACGGGGCAGTGATTACACACTGCCTTGCAACTCTTCTCTTTAGCCTGAAACAGGCATTGAAACGGACTAGTGCTATTTAATCTCATCACCCAAATAGTATAAACCACTTAAAGGTAAAGACTGTTGAACAGGTCTTGGTGTCTTCCCACAGGGCCAAATACGTAGATAGTAGGTGCTTAATGCATACGTCGACTTCCTTTTTCTTCCCACAGATACTGGCCTCAAACAAATAGCCAGGGCTGGTTAGAATAATAACATCGGCCTCGGAAGCCTGATCTCAATTGCATTAATCAGCGGCCTCCAGGGCACCAGGGGCAGCCCTCTCCAGAGAGGCTCTGACTGGCCTCGCCAACTCGGCTCTGCCTGCTTGCTGGCGATCATATTTCCCTGTTCATTTCTGGTCTCCGGTTAAAAGCAAACATTCCGGAGTACGACGGACAGGGGTCTCCCTAACCCCTGAACCCTGACTCCCTCATTGGTGAAGCCCCCGCAGCCCAGTTTCGGGTCGTCAGAAGCACCCAGGGGGCCCCCTACCCTTGGGAGAGAAAGCAGACACTGCACCTTTAAGTCTGCAGCCGGTTGAGAAAAACAAGCTGTGATTTATATAAGCGGGAAAATCATGTGATTTGCGGGAACTCTGCCTCCTCCCCCGACCCCCTCCCCGCGTCGCCTCCAGCCCCGGCGGGCGGCCGGGCGGAGGGGAGGGGTCCGGGGCTGGGCGGGCCAGGGCAGGGGCGCCGGGGACGCCCCCTTCACTGAGCGCGGGGCCCCGCAACCCTGGCTCGGCGGGACCGACGAGCGCCTCCCTCCGGTGCTAGGTTCCCGCGGCGCTTCCCGGTGGGTGGCCCCAGCAAATTTGTTCGCCAGCGGGATGTGCTTAGGCGGCCGCTGCCCCCGGGGTCGTACAAAGCCCAGGGTGGCCGCTGCTCCCGAGGGCGCAGCCCGAGCATCCCCTCCCTGCCGGGGTCTGCCTGCCCCTTCCCGGAGAAACCACGGGATGGAGAAACTGAGGCTTTCCCCCAACTTCTCGGAGAGATTCTGAAAAGCCCAGGGCCCCCACAGACCGGCCTCTGTGTCCTGGAACACCCAGCGGGTGGCAGGGCAATTTAAGAAATAATTTGGTAGGGAAAGACGTAATGAAAATCAGCCATTGCTAGAGCTGAGAGGCGGTGGTGTTTAGCCCAGAGGACCTAGCTTTCAGGAAAAAAAGTAAAAGAAATAAATAAAGAGACGATGTGGCCTTTCAGACAGAACCCAGGAAAAGTGAGTGATTCGGAGGCTCTAAGAACCAGCCCAGGGCTCTTCGATGTTAGAGGGGGGTGGTGTAGCTACAAGGAGCCCCCAGCCACTCGGAGTTAACTCGGGCAGCTGCCGGAGGAGAGGAAATCGGACCCTCCTGAGAAGCAGCCACTGTAAAGAGAATGAGACCTGAAGAGGTCAAGTCAGCCAAGCCCGGTCTCTGTAGGAACGCACATCCCAGGCCCTTCCACGGTGCGCTTCCAGTTGGGAGGGCTGAGTAGTGCATTCAAACCCAAGCCCCGGAGAACCTGGGGGCTTTCTCCGAGAAGAGCTGGGAGGAGTGGCCAGATCTCTCCCCGCCACGTCCGTCCGTGTAAGCCACAATTACGGATTCAGAAATTGTCCAAGAATAGAAACCCTGGGCTTCTCAGAGTAACCAGTTCAAGGGGTTAAACCTTGTCAGGAATAAGGTTTAAATTCCCAGTGAAGTTCCTCCATCGGTCATCTGCTGGGGATGAGGCATAACCCAGTGCTGTCCCCACAGAGGGAAGCTGTCCCTCAGAGGGACCACGCGTGGTGATTAAGGGAGTGGCTAATGCATCATCTCGCTGTGGGCTCAGCCATGGTCAGCGGAGCCTGGTAAATTTCAGTCCACCTTCAGAGCCAGCTGGGCCTTGAGAGGTCAGCCCCTCCTTCAGCCCCTCACCCCCCCCCTTGCCCACCCCCCAGACAGAGGGTCTTCCAAGGCAGCTCATGGAGCAGTACTACACCACTAGGAAGAAGGTTCTTCCCACAGGAAGGCTAGACATTCTCCATTATTCTCTAAATCCTTTTTTACACGTTATTTATTTACTTTTAGACAGAGGTGGAGGGAGGGAGAACAAAACAGAGAGAAACATTGATGGGAGAAACATCGATGGTTGCCTCTCGCACACACCTTGACCGTCTGGACTGGCACTTAGGCACACACCCTGACTGGGAATCGCACCGGCAACGTTTCATTTTACCGAGAGACACCCGGCCAACTGAGCCGCACTGGTTCGGGCCGTTCTCCAAATCTTGGAGAAGAAAAGTACAGGGACGTTAACATAGGGACCCGAAGGGAAAGCACTCCAGGTGTTCGGACACCAACTCTACTCACTCGGTTGCAGAGTCGGTGCCTTCTGTGAGCCTGGCCCCGAGCTGGACACTGGGGATACAGTGGGGACAAGACGGACACCGCCCTTGCCCTGAGTCCTGACTCCCTGCTCCCGCCTCTGCCTCCCAGGAGGCCTCTGCTCCACCAGCGGGTGCACATCCCTTCCCCAGCCCACACCCAGCATGTGCTGCCCCCAATTCCAGCTGCATATGGCTCCCAAGTCTGCCAAGAGCTGCTTCTATCTGAAGGCAGTAACTCTCCGGTGATCGGGTGCTGGGTATGAGAAGTAACCCAAAGGCCTGCTCAGAAAATGAGATCAAAGCTGGCAGCCTCCTGGGCCCCTCCCCAGATTGATAATTAGTTTAGACAACACTCAGTCAGTGCCACCGGCTTCCTCTCTCTCTCTCTGCTCCTTTTCTAATTTGCCTGGCTGCCGCCATTCAGGTCTCCTCTTTCTGAAGCTGCCTGTGCCAGGGACCTGCCCAACCCTGAGCCCACCCCGGGAGCCCAGGTGCCATCTTCCTAAGGCAGTTCGCCGGCTTCCTCAGGGGGCCTGCGCCCCTCAGCCCTGCGTAGACCCCTCTGCAGGGTCTCTTCTGTTGCTGAAAGGCTCGGCCTTGAGGGCACTCGGATGTCCCCCCTGAACCCAACCCCCACCGTCCCTCCCTCGTGAGCACACCAGCCCCTCCCTGCCTGATTCGTCTTTTCCTGAGTCCTGCTGCTGGCTTCCCTTGGCCATTCACAAGCACAGTCTGATAACGTGCAGAGAGAGACCTGGCAATAAGCCTGTGCTGAATGAACATTTTTGAAGGAACAAAGTATGGCTCCAGACGAAAAACACCCTGGAAGTCACAGACTCTGCTACTTTCAAAGATGCCAGAGCTGGACCTCTGAGGGTATTTGTTTGTTTTGTTTTTTTAAATGCACCAAGGAGTGCAGTGAGTGAATGAGTGAAATCAGCTCATCTTAGGGACTCTCTCAGGAAATGGGGCCTCAAGAAAAAAAACATCCCAGCCCCTGCCAAATTCCATTGTTTCAAATTAGCCTTCCAGCAAAATGAGGGAGCTAGCTAGTCTTTAAGACCCTCCTAGCACCGAAGCTCTGAGTGCTACAGTTCCCCTAAACAACCTTTTAAAATGGTCCACATTCTTAATAACAGAGTGGAAAAATGCATTTCTGCTCCGGACCTGGGTCTGCAGCTGAAGCTCAGAATTTGGTTTTCACCGCTGTGCAGTGAGGCCTATTTCCCTCTTTCTCCTTTCCCTGACAGGGCCTCTGGTCTTTCCCAAGCAGCTGAGTTGAAGGGAACACACAGCTCCCCCAGAGCAGAGGGGCCCTCGGGAGGGAGAGCGGGCCCCGCCCCAGTACAGCCGGGAGGCCTCCTGTCCGGCAAGGACGGTCCTCCCTCCCAACAGGCAGGGGACTTCTGGAACTTCTAAACAGCACATCCTCAGGCCAGCCCAGGCCCCACGACATCCTGTGCCCCAGTTTACAACCTTTTAGTGGCAACTAACACATTTGGCAAACTTCCCTGAGTGGGAGCCAAGCCAGGCCCTTTTCCCTGGGACCCAGCTGTCAAAGGGATACTAGATTGGGACAAAAATGGGGTCCAGCCAGACAAGCCCCAAGCCTTGGTTCTCTGGGCCAAGTCTGGTCTGGAGAGGTCCAGAGAGAAATGTCCTTGGTCAGCCTCACCACCACTAGGCAGGCTGGTCCTGAGATCTCAGGATGCATCAGTAATTCCAGGCAGGGTTCCATCCCCAGCCCACACTCAGCCCGGACCTGGTCGGGGACTCTCCAAGTATTCCCAGAACCACGAAGCTCACTCATCATGCCAGGCCCCTCTGGGGTCTCTGGGTGGGAGCAGCCAGACCTTCTCCGTGGGCTCCTGCTCTGTCTGAAAAGCATCTCTCTCCATCGGAGACGTTCTCGGCACCAGGCCTCTGCTTTGAGACAGTTTTAAAGAGAATGGCGTTTTGAAAGCCAAAGACACGTTCTGGGCTCACCTTTGATTCTAGCTCCATCTCCACCGCTCAAAAACCATTGCTCTTCCCATGACCACGGAAATCCTGGAGGCAGCGAGCTGAGCTGAAGGCCCTGGGAGAGCCTCCACGTCCAAGACGGGCTGGGCCCGGTCTTGATGTCGCTGGCAGGTCGGGCTGGGCCCGGTCTTGATGTCGCTGGCAGGTCTCCAAGAAGAGCAGATCCTTCCTTCAGACTGTCTAACTGGAATGTCTGCCACCCAGTATTCCAGACAATGACATGAGCCACGCCCAGCTGGTTGCGGGGACCCCATCATCGTGTCCCCCAACCTCACAGTCCCTCTGTGAGGTGTCCTGTCCCTACGGCCAGCTGTGCCTAGGATTCCCAGAGGGTTTCTGCTGCCCCCGACCCCTGGCTCCGATTTC